TGAACTTAAAATTAAGTCCAAAAACAGACGTTCTCTGGGTATCGATATTTAATTAGCATAAACGGACGTACACTGGATGCCCGGATATGGACGTACTGACCCTCAAATAGATCTAAAGTGGACGTCCATTGGACTATGTGTGCATAGACGAATTTTTAGAAATAGTACTTATTTAAGTATGCACCAATATTTCCAAAATCAACTCCAGTGATTCATTCAATAAATGTAAATATGAATGGGCAAAACATCTTTATATTGACCTAATTGTAACTTACAATTTAGCCATAATAAAGGGATTTTGCCCACTTTGACCAATCCTAATTGAAATACGCGAATTTATTGTATTTTTTTAAATATAATTTCAAAATAAAATAAACAAAATCTGCAGTTCATTGTTTATTAAATTTATTTAAAAGAAGAAAAACATATATTTCACAAAATACAATACCTACATATGAATAATAAAATGTCAAAAATGATTAAATCATTATACTTAATATTTATGCATGTGATAAAATTCTTAGTTTCCTAATAACTTTTTTGGCACATTTTATATCTGTATTAGAATACCTAAGTGTGTAAAAATCTTCATCTTATTACTACACAAAACAAACACCAAAAAATATCACTTAACATTTCTCACGTACTAAACACAACTTGGACTGACTTTGACAGATATTATAATTTTGAGTGATACACAACTTATTTTCGCACATGCGCGTTACAAAACGGTACACTGAAAACACCAAGCTGTCGCTTCTCCTTGATCGGTATTCTCGGATAGTACTCTCGCTGTCTTCACTTTCTTCCGATGAACCCGTATTTTTGTTCGTAAGTAAAGGCTTGGCAACGCCGAAGTTTGGCTCACAATAATAAGGGATCCATGTTTACGCGATAGCTTCTGTTCGAATTATATTCTGGACCATGCGGCAGTCGTACAGCGTTGCCAAATTATTAAGCAATTGCATCTCTATATTAGAAAAACGAAAAAAATCGCCAAAACGCCACTGACGCTTAAATGGGATGAATCTGAGAGAGATGCAAATTATTGCGGCCTTTGTCAGGTATGATGTGTGTGGCTTTTTCGTAGTTGAATCGTACTCTAAAGGATAATATTAGTTCAAAGATATCTAATGCGAATTAATTACTTATTATTAGTAATAAAGTAACTGATCAATATAACATTTTTGAAGAAATCAAAATATGTGCTATTCGTAATAAAATTGCAGACAAGGCACTATTTAATCCTTTTTTTTTAGAGATGTTTAGGAAAATCCACAGTACACAAACGGCAAAGGAAGCCATTACTATAACTAAAGTGACCCAAAGATGCTATAGAAGTAAGTATTACTTTAATGTTTGTTTTAGACGCATTACGTTGTTTGTTTTTTTTTTGGAAAATTGAACATTCATAACCAAACATATGTAAAATGATGAAGTGGCTTCGCAAAAAGAGTACTGAGTCTGGGTTTCATTTGTGGGAGCGTGCCACGCCGGTGCTGCTGCGAATAAGTCATGAAAAATTTAAATATAAGGTTTGTTCCAACAACAATTTTGGAATCATACACAAACCAGTCCACAACTTATTGTCGACGACTGATAGTCGACGACCAGTCCACGACCTGTCGATGATTGGGATTGAATTCGGAACTTTGTTGTGTTGGAACACATGTTTCTGTTGTCAGACACACGTTCAAATACGTAAAAGTAAAAAAAAAAATAACAGATGTTCATTATGAATTTGGTAAATAAAAAAATTATAACACTTATTAAAAGATTTATAAATTATGATTATTCGATTGGTTAGCACATTAACTTATTTTATTTTTTACTGTGTCTAACGCCCGTATGAACCGTACACGTTTAATCCAGATCAAGGGTTTAATCGCGTTTAGTACCATAGCTAAAAATGGTACTAAACGCGATTAAACCCTTGATCTGGATTAAACGTGTACGGTGCATACGGGCGTATGTCAGAATAATAGTCCTTTTCACTTTCTACACTCATTACTCATAAAAAAAATATTCTATAAATATTGATAATGATTAAAAACCTAAAAACCAAATTATGATCGAAACTACGATCGATGCTATCAAAACGAATATAATCCAGAGTTGGTCGTGATTTATTTACGAGCTCACTTTCGTTTTGCGCATGTCTTGACAATTTGTTTCTATTCAGATTCAGGAACTGATTTGACAGTACAGAAACTGGTTTGTGATTAGGTTTGAGTATGTTGGAACACTAGGTTTTTGAACAGTTTTGAGTCCGAGGTTTGTTGGAACACTAAATCTAGACTGCGCAGAATCCCGACAGTGCGTAAACCAATTTGCTATTGTGTTGTAACAAACCTATATTTTTAAAAAAGACATTTTAAAGTTTAAAAAGTCACAAGGACAATTTGTTTAAAAAAAGTACTGTCCTTTTCAAAAAAGGACATGTGGCACCCCTAAGGTAGTGATACTTTTAGTTTTCAAAAAAAGTGATTTTAAGTTCAGTGTTACCCAGTTGTTTAAGGGGTTTAATGTTAAAATTAATCTTTACATCTTTATAGAGTTGAGGATGGCTAATTAGCCGAAATCGGTCGTCTAATTTATTAAACCTGTGTGGTACTGATTTTGCGTTTTAATTGTCTCATTGAAGTTGACTTACATTTGAGAGGTTGGATTCCTTTCTTCGTTTATAAAAAAATAGTATTAAATATTGTAATTTTTTTTATAAAATAAAAAATATTAGGTTGCCTTATCTTATTGTCTTCATTTTCATCGTCCTTGGCAGTAAATATCAGAGCTGGGGAGGATTCGAATCACATAGGATTCGAATCCTTTTTGAGGATCCGAGAGCGGGATTCGAATACTTTAGAAAAAAAGGATCCGTGATCCGGATTCGCAGAGAAAATCCTAAAGGATTCATATTCGAATCATCACTATCAGTCTCGGATCCTTTTAGAGACCAAACTACGCCGGCGCGAACGGCCGACTCAAGCTTTGACTTGTCACGAATTGTAAAATAAAAACTAAAACAGACAGACTGAATAGAAAACCGATGTGTTTGCCGTTGTGCACGATTACAGAATTAACAAATAATCTGATATAGATGCTCAATACATTTAAGTAAAAAAAAAAATCTGCATCCACATCCACATGTAGGTATATTATTTATTTTTCTAATTTTTGCACGATATACAAAATAAATATGTGAGCGATATTAGTCTATTGAACGAATAATTATATCCATTCTATATTTTCTATCAATTACAATTAATTCATTACTTAATGTCAAGTTGACTATTTTTTTTATTATTTAAAATGAGTTTTAGTTATTAATATAAAATATAATTCAAAATTAGTTATTCTTGTGAAAAATCGATAAATAACGGCAATCAACTAGAGTTTTTTTTTATATTTACAAGGAAACTTAAGTAAAGTTTAAACAATTTTTATACTTATACGAGTATGTAGTCAGTAGAGCGCGTCACTTAGGTAATCGCCTATATGCTAAATGTGACAGCCAGCTTCGTTTCAGCTTCAAGTTTTAAATGTTTTTATTTATTTATTTACAGGTCAAAACTCATTTTACAGAATTGTATAACAAAGTTCCTTAACAAATATAAGACAATTGGCAGCATTACAACGAGTTATAAATAATAATATACATGGCAGTGGCGTAACTACCATAAGACAAGTATTGCAAATATTTGAAGCCTAATATTTAAGTTTTTTTTTAAACTCTCGAGAATTTATAATAATTTGCAACTTAATTACTACTTAGTTTAAATTGAAACTTGATTATCTTTAATAAAAAAAAATATTATGTTGTCATATGTAAAATAAATGAAAAAAATTGAGGGCCGTTGTTTTATTTTTAATTAGCATTTGTGATTTGTAACTGAAATCTTTATGTATTTTGCATTAGGGCCAAAAAAATATAGTTACGCCATTGACACACGGTGTCTCAAAAAAGTTTTATATAAATGGGAAAGATTTATTTTACTTCTTACAAAAAAAAATTCTTGATAAAAATTCTGCATCGCTAAAATGCTAAAATGTGTATTAGAAACTTTTTAATTTTACAATTTTATTTTTATTATGTATTTCCAAGTGATGCAGAACTTTATATCAGGAATATTTTCTTTGTAAAATGTAAAAATATATTTTTCCCATTTGTATAAAACTTTTTGAAACACACTGTATGTAGGAGTACCTTCGAGTACACCTCTAAAAGGTCACACAAATGGCACGCCATACTTATTAATTAATACAACAGTATAACACTGACAGTGATTAGTATCCGTGATCCGAAAAAAAGGATTCGAATCAATCGAATTCTTTTTTTTTTTGAAAAAGGAATCGAACATTGGATTCGTGATTCGAATCCATTTTTCGAGGATTCGTCCCAGCTCTGGTAAATATAGGTACACTGGCCGTGTATCATACATTTTAGTAAATTATATTTCAATTTTATTTTTTGACCGATTGGGTGAGGGAGTATTTATTAAAAAATCCTGAGAAAATTATTTAAAAAACATAACCTAGTTATTTTGACAATTTAAAGCCGGTGAACTTATCGATCACCGGATTAATTCTGTTGGTCAAGCCTTGTTTCGTGTTTATTATCAAATGATTTTTCAATTGCACTGTAGGAGAGGTTTGTGGTCATTGTATTACATAGTATCGTAAAGTTGTCATGTTCAAGCGTCGTGTTGTAGAAAACACGTTTTCATGAATTTTCGCAAAGGAAAAGTGTGGTAGACTGGTAAAAATATAGTCGCACACGATAAATGGGAATCAAGCCACGCAGGCGTGGACGTACTGTGGACTAAATACTTTGAAATGAAATTTCACAAAATGGATGAGTATATTAACAGAAAGAGTACTGAAAACTACGATTGATGGTATATAAAAGTAATTTTTCGATTTTTAATGAATTTTGGCCGAGCCCTTGATATAATTAATATATATTTTCTTACCAATCAATTGAGAAAAATAAGACACAAGATAATTTTTATTTACATTTATTACATACAAACAAATTTTATTAACCTTTAATAAAACTCTCTATAAAAATAAAATCTCAGGTTTTTAGTGTAAAAGGAACTATTTAATTCATCGTTTCAAATTAAAACCAGCAAAAATATAAATAAAAAATATATTTAGTTACCGGAAATTCAACATTTTTAACATGAAAAATTCAGAATTTGGATTAAACGTTCAAATCGCAGCAGGTAATTCTTTCTCAAACATCTAATATTCTGTACATTGAGTTTTTTGCCTTTATTGACGATTTTACAAAATGAAAAGAAGTAGACGATGAATTATTTTACAAGTACTGGCCAAAGTACAGTATAAGTACCGATGCTAATAAGTTCCAAAGAGTGATCGCAATAATTTTGCACTTCTTTGGCCAATGCTCGTTTTAAAAATTTGACTAAAACATTCATTCGCTAAAAAGTGCTAGTTCTGTTTATTCTCGTAACTCTTTTTCGCTACTTGGTACAAAGTTTCAGCCATGGTTTTCCCGGTTTGTTGAACCATGCTATAGAAAATGCTCTGACGATTTTCCATTAATAAGTACGGATGATCAAACTCTTTCATCGTACCAGCATCCATAACCATAACTTTATCAGAATCCATCACTGTATTTAGCCGATGCGCTATGGTGAGCACTGTACAAGCAGCGAATTTCGTTCTGATGGTTTGTTGGATCAGAGAGTCTGTCTGCGGATCTACGTTAGCCGTGGCTTCGTCCAGGACGAGAAGTTTATTGTTTCTTAGGATTGCTCTAGCCAAACAGACCAATTGTCTTTGCCCTACGCTGAAATTCGATCCGCCTTCGGACATTTTAGAATTGAGACCTGCTACAAGGTTTTCCACGGCTTCTTTCAGTTCTACTTCTTCAAGGACTTTCCATAGGTCGGCATCTGAAAGACATACGTCAATTTAACCAAAGAAATGTAAAAAAAACGCTAATAGTAGTTTGTGCAACAAGAGTGGATATGATGGTCATATCATATTGAGCACGACGCCGTAGGCGGAGTGCGATGTAGACGATCCACTCGAGTTGTAAAGAATATGTTTTCTACGACCCACTAACAAAAATTTACAAATAAAAAAATATTTTAGGTTATTAAGCCAAAATAACTAATTTTAAAATAATTTATAAATTTTAATAATTTTTAAAATAAAATAAACGAAAAAAAAAAGAAATAAGTTAATTTCATTTTTCCCCATTTGAGAATCGAACTCCAGTCATTCATGTGGAAAGCAAGAACCCTAACCACAGGACCATCTACGTGTTTATTTTTTTGCTTTAATACTCGTAATTAAATTGACTTCATATAGTTTTATTTAAATTACCAAATTATAGACGAAATAAAAATATAAATTCTATTATTTATCGATTCTACACAAGAATAACTCATTTTAATGTTTAATCTCAATAACTAAAAAATATACTGACAATTAGTTTGACAGAATTGTCACTTATTTCAGTTGATCAAAATATGAACTGTGATTGGTGGATTTCATTTTTTTGCAGTGTTCTTACTACCTAGAATGGATATGAAATATATTCATTCAGTTGAAGGCAATAACATACTTTTTCGTTTTGGAATCTGTGTGTAGATAAGCTAATATCCATGTGGGTGAAGAAAAAAACCTTTCTGTCCTTTAATTTGATATATACGTTTTTAACTTTGTTAAAATTTAACAAATATTGTTTACAAGTCGTAAAAAAGTAGATCCATTTTTTTTAATTTTTAAATGCATATAATCTTGAAGATAATAGAAATTAAATGTTAATGAATACAACCTCTGCTGTCACTGTATTCTCAGTGAAACACAAATTAAGTCATCACTAAAATAGATTATCATAACGGCGTAATCTTCACTAGACGAGATTTATTTGTTATAAAATTTTTGATATAAAAATGTACTTCAGTTAAGGCACTTAAGGCTCACTAAGCCCATTGTACACCCTCCTAAGTTGATAGGCTCGTGAGCCAGCCTACAGATTTAATGTAGTTGACAACGTCGCCAAGAGGTACTTATCTCATATCGGCCAGTGTTAGCTAATTCTCACCAAACACAAAACTTCTAATACATGAGAGCGTCGGGCAATCGTAGATGATATGCACGATGGACTCATCTTCTTGTTCGCATCTCTTGTTAAGTGCGTATTCTGACAGCCCCATGCAATGGAGGTGCTTCCGTACTTGGCAATAACCAGTCAGAATGCCTGTTATCAGGCGCAGATTCTATCTAGTCATAGTAAAGTGTTGTAGTGTTGTCATGATAACTTAAAGGCTCCCTGGCAACTCTGCAGTTCCTTATTTTATCCCATCTTTTCTTGAATTTCACGACTAACCATATGTGGAACATTCCTGTTGGTTAGTGAGTGTATTATCTTGGGGAAGATCGTTTTATTTAAAGCACCTTCTATGTCTATGAAAACACCCAAGGTGGACTCTTTATTATCTAGGGATCTCTCTAAAGGGCTGAATCAGTAGATATGCCTGGGGTGTATGCATGTTGATTTGAGTGTAGTGTTGTTGTTGTAATCACCACATCCTTCATGTACCTTTCGAATAGCCTTTCCAATGTCTTCATGGAAAACGATGTTATGCTAATTGGTTGGTATGTTTTTGGGACAGTGTAATCCATCCTTTTAGGTTTGGGTATGAAGACACTACTTTTACCTCTCTTCATTTTTTGGAGACATACCTCAAAGCCAATGAGGGTCTGAATATACCTAAAAGGTGCGGTGTGAATTCTTCCAGACCCCACTGAAGTAAGGCTGGATATTGCCCATCTAATTTTGTCATCATGTACAATGAGTTTGGCAGTTTGCAGCCACCACGCCTGTGATGATCGAGTCATGGAAGTGTGTTGACAGCATAAGTTTGATGCTATCTTCGAGGTTTGCCATCCTCTTTGTAGCGCATCAATACTGCGGTGTAGATCTCTTAAGACCTTTTTGAAGCCTTGCTGACTGCGAGAAAGCTTCGCAGTAGCATCTCCATGCATCTCTGTAATTGTCTAACGGTTTTTTTATATTCTCTGAAGTAAGTCATCTTCCTAAAGTGATCCAACACGTGACACTACCATGCGGTAGTCACCTGAACGTGTTGGACCAGTCTCAGTAGGGTAGGATTTCTTATAGGCATTGTTTATTGTGCTTTGGATAGTGCTGGAATACTTTTCCAGGGCCTCTTGGTGAAGGTGAGCACAAGTTGCCCTGTCCGTCTTCATAGGCTTCCGAGATAACGTGGAGGTCGGCAACATTAAGTATATTTTGAATGTTAAACAGCGGTATTCTGATAGATGATCAGATACATGATAAAATACTATCTAATAAAATTTACAAAGCAGTTATTCCCAACTCCTAACCTCATAAAGATGGCCTCATGACAAAACAGCGCAGGACAAAATGGCGCAGGACAAAATAGCGCAGACAAAATAGCCCAAGGAAAAAATAGCGCAGGCCAAAAAAGCGCAGGACAACATAGCACAATGACAAAATAGCGCAAGGACAAAACAGTGCAGGACAAAATAGCGCAAGGATAAAATATTCTAGTATTCTATTTAAAATAAAAAAAAAACTTAATTGATTTACCTAACCTGGGTCTGTGCAACATGCGATGGCACCAGGCCGCACAAGTTAGGTAAATTAGTTATGTTTTTTTTTAGTTTAATTAGAATACTTAGGGGAAAATAGCGCAAAAGAACAAGAAATGTTTTTTTTTAATTAATGTAATTCCTTGAAATAATGCGTAACGAATACATCTAACTGTTACCTAATCTATGGTGAACTACGATTCATCTCCTTTATTATTGGATAATTTGGTTTCCTTGGATATAGGTACTTGATTTTTATTTCTTTGCGCTATTTTGTCCTTTCGCTAATTTGTCCGTGCGCTATTTTGTCCTGTGCTATTTTGTCCTGCGCTATTTTGTCCTTGAGCTATTTTGTCTGCGCTATTTTGTCCTGCGCCATTTTGTCCTGCACTGTTTTGTTATGGAGCCCAGAAAGGTAATGATACATTATAGAGATACATTAGATATATTATATTGAACCGCTTACTGTACAACTTTATCGATATACAAAATTGTATTTAATTTCGAAAATAAATCAGGAAGCAAAAAGGACATTGAAGATTATAAGGGCATTGCTATCTTGTGTGATACATCAAAAGACTTTATTTATATTAAAATTTATAATCATATTCAAAATATTTTAGTAGAAGAACAACATGATTTTGTTTGAGGGAAATCAATTAATACAAACCGTTTCATATTTATGGAACATGCCACAAAAGCTTTTTAATGAAAAATTACAACTTTATGTAATCTTTACAGATTTTAGTAAGGCCTTTGACCAAATTAGTCATGAAATTATTTTAGCAAAGTGTATAGTTTAGGCATTACAGGAGAATTATCAATGCTACTCAAGAATTATTTAAAAAATAGACACTTTAATTGTAAAATACAATGAAAATATTTCATCTAATAAAAACATCTCTGGAGTTCCGCAAGGGTCTAACTTGGACCTTTGCTTTTGCCTACTTTTGTTAAATTATCTGATTTTTAAATATTTGCAGATGATTTTAAAATGTTTAAGAAAGTCCAAACAGATATAGACTGTGTTAGCGGTGCAGATAATTATGTAATCTCAATAAATAATAAAAAGGTGCCGGTTATTTTAATTATATTCCACGCCTTGTTCTCAATGATCATAGGTAGTACCCCCCTTTTCCCGCTCTGTGGCCATGTATTTCAAAGTCTAAATACCCTCAAAAGTATTTAGAAAGCTCCAAAATAACTGGTATCCCAGTCCTTCTCACCTTTGCTCCAGTCTCGTGACAGTCAAGCACACTCTTGAGCCATTCTTTCTTTTCGTGCACTTGTGGTTACACGTAAATAATTTGCTTATCATTATTAATTATCAAAAATACGTAAATGGGTAAATCGAAGAACATTTTTACAACAGGGAAGTCTACGGCCTCCGAGAATTACAAACATGAAAACACAACCTTTAGTTTATTTTGAAACTTACAGAAAGTATTTAATTGTCTATGCTAAAAGATGGATACAACCAATGAAAAATATTTAACGGCTAGGTACCAATTAATTATAAAACGAGTAGTTCTCATCTCGCCTGCCGTAATTGGACGCATAATATTTACACCTCTACCGGTAGTGGGATAGTAAGTATGCTTAATTCTGTCTGTTCTGCTGTATCAATAGCATTGGTTATATACCGTTCTCTGGAGAGAGGTTTAAATAGTTAACATATTGCATATAAAATAAGAGGGGGGAGGGGGTGAAGTGAGGTGAGATGAACAGGGTGAAGTGAGTTACCACTGATTAGAGCCTATAACGAAAAAAAAAAAAAAAAATTGCCAGAAGGATCTACTTAACTTCCTCCTAGTAAAACTTCGTTAAATTACGAACGATGGAATATAACTTATTTCAAAGAGTTTTAAAATGTATGAGGACTTTAGTTGAATGGCTTAACTGTAAATCGATGGATTCAAAAATAACCTTTTATATGTATTTAAAGTGTTGGAGTTCTAATTAGAAAGGACGGATGAGGGTAATGAATGACTATTTTCTAAGTATAAAAAGTCACAACGTCCTGCAATATATTAGCCGTTGGTTGAAATTAAGACTACATAATTGAATAGATACCGCAGTATTTAAGTCTCATTTTAGACAACAACATGCTTTTACATATGCTGCCAATAAATTGGGAATTAGTATTGACACATTTAAACATACAAAAAAAAATAAACAGTAGGTGACATTTAGTTAAGAATTTCTATAAAAGATTTTTTATAAATGAAATCGCGATCAACATAATTTTTGCCTTTGCAATTTCCGTTTCGTAATGTTCGTTGTACGTATCTATTTTGTTATGTTGCATCGTACTTTAATTCGTAGGAATTAAGTCGGTTATTTCAATAAAATTATGCTAGTAGAGTAACTACTTAGCATATACCCAAACAGTTCGAATAATGATTCAATCGTTGGGTCTAGAATAAAAATGTTCTCGGTAATTGTGTTTAATCTTTTCTTTAAACATCTACCTGTGATCATTGAGAACAAGGCGTGGAATATAATTGATAGATCAATCGAACTTACCTGAAGTGAAGTTCGATCTCAATTATATGAAACGCCTTGTTCGAGATGATCGAACCCACCCACACACCTATACCCAAGATCATCTCTACAAGATTCAAACACAATTACCGCTTTAAAAGAATGGCTCAAGAGTGTGCTTGACTGTCACGAGACGGGAGCAGAGGTGGGAAGGACTGGGATACCAGTTATTTTGGAGCTTTCTAAATACTTTTGAGGGTATTTAGACTTTAAAATACGTGGCCACAGAGCGGGAAAAGGGGGGTACTACCTATGATCATCTCGAACAAGGCGTTTCATATAATTGAGATCGAACTTCACTTCAGGTAAGTTCGTTTGATCTATCAATTATAACATGAATAACACATCCTTAAATAGAGTTTTAGAAGTGAACTATTTCTAAGTTACTTGTTATCATATGCGACTCATAAAGAAAATTAAGTTAAAAGGGCTAATTGCACTTTAGGGTCTATTGTAAGACAAACTTCGTTATTTACCTACTAACTTAGAAACACTTGTTCTTTCAAAACTAGATTTTTCATCTATCTTTTGGGTACAACAGCTTGAATGTATTTAGATACCCTTGAAAAGATTAAAAATAAAATTATTTGATACCTATATTATAAAAAATATCGTTGATCACACTATAATCAAATAAGAAGCCAAACATTAAGACAAACATTTTAAATTCTTTTTTTATCATTAGACCTAATTACCTAAGCAATGATGGAATTTATGTATAATTTCATGAATAACCAGGTCTCATCTAGCATATTATTATCCAGCGGCGGCGTGTGAACAAAAAATTGGGAGTTTACAATGACAAAATATATATCTTATTACAGATTTAGGTAAAAAACGTCCAGTGTTTTTGTCATTATGAACCTCCAATTTTTTATTCACAAACCACCACTGTTATTATCTTTAATTCCTATCAATGTTCCCCCAAAATACACGTTGTCCTTTAATATTCAATTTAAAAACAGGTTCTACTTATTTTCAATTCTATTCCATCCTACGTCTAGCCAACAATATGAATATGATGCGGAATTTAGACTGGACTATGTTACGTATATCAAGTATTTCGGAAAACAATTCTACATTATTTTGAAATTTTGGGCATATTATGATTGTTTAGCGAAATTATGTGTTGTGTTTTCCCTTCTAGCTAAATAATATTGTAGCCAACTTACCCGTAAACTCATCAAACGGATCTAAATTCTTCCTCATCGTTCCGGAAAACAGAACAGGCTCCTGTGGGATTATCGATATTTTGGAACGTAAATCGTGAAGACCGATATAACGTATATTAACGTCGTCTATTAAAATATCCCCGATAGTGTCAGTAAGTCGGAACAAAGCGTTTATGAGCGATGATTTTCCAGCTCCTGTCCGTCCGACTATGCCGACTTTTTGTTTGGGTTCCACCACGAAATTCAATTCTTTCAAAACGAACGGATCTTGCGGAAAATATTTCAAGAAGATCTGCCTGAATTCCAACCTTCCGTTTTCTGGCCAGGTTGGTCTGGGTTTTTTGTCTGGATCGGACTCAAGTTGGCCTTCCATTTCTATTGCGTTGTACTCTAAAACTCTTTCCACTGATGTCATTTGATTTTCCAACTCTGTGGATTGTCTCATGCCCCATTGGAACATTCCGGTTAGACCAATTGCTTGAGTTATGGCTAGACCTACGTTTCCACCGAATTTTTCTAAAAGAAAGAATATTAACGTTTAATAGTAAGAATAGTAATTAAAAGAAACTTTAAATTATCTTTTACCATATAGCCGATGATAGCCGTGATATGATACACATGTAGTAATTACTGTTTATTATCTTAATATGAATTATAACTCAAGATGAAGTAAAACTTATATTATATTCAGTCAGTCAATGAGGACAATGTTATATATTTAGATCAGTGGTTCCCAACGGGAGCGGTACCGCCCACCAATATGCGATGAAGAGAGCTAAGGGGCCATTTTTATCCAAAGCAAATTTAGGGGGCATCGAGGAACAACTGTCACCCACTGGAAAATAATCAAAAGTACTCGATGGAAAGTTTTTTTTTCGAAATGTATGCGGTAGTCCAAAAAATGTTGGAAACTTATGATTTAGATTAACTGAAATCATGGTAAACTATAACAGAGTAACACTGACAGACTTTGCATAAAAAGTCATTCACGCTGTTTAACAAATATGATGTAGTTTCTTGTGCATCCTGAATATTATATAAAATAGTTCAGTCAAATGATTTTAGAACAGGGTTGGGTTATTTTTCTATAATTAGATGTAATTAATTTTTAACTTTAAAAATAGTTACCCTTTAGTAAGTCACAACTACATAAATTATTATTTAAGAGATTACCTGGTTTTATAGTTTAATAAATAGGTGAATCAAACGTGTAATCATAAATAATACTTGGTCATTATAAAAAGATGAACTCACCATTGCCTAATAGAAGAAAACTGAATGTAACAAGCGTTATGTACACCATACAGAGTAAGTCCAAAAAGTATCCGAACGCTCTAGAAGTTGATATAAACGAAAACCAAGCTGAACTGTGTAAGTCTTGATGATTGTCGAATTCTTGCATCAATATTTCCTCGGCTTCGAATGCTCTTATTGTCGTTAAACCCAAAATCGATGCGTTCAAATGAGAAAATACCGGACTTCTGGCTAAAAAATAAAAGAAATTCATGACAAGCAAATCGTTAATGGTGATCGGAAGCTCTAAAAGTACTTAATCTTAGGAGTCAAATACTATTGTGCTTGTACGATTTGAAATAATGAAGTTTTGACTTACTAGTTCCTTCCAGCCTTTTGATATTCCTGCTGGTCCTCAAATAAAAAATCCTTAGAAGATAGAACAGGATTCCGATCAAGCAAGTAGGAATCATCAACCACGGCGTAATCACTGCGACGACGACAATAATACCAAGCAGTGCCAAACCAATTTGCATGCAATCAATCAAAGCCAGCGGCAGCAACTCGTCTATTGAACCCATATCTTTGGAAAATCTATTCAGAATCCTTCCGGAACTGTTGGTGTTGAAGAACCGCATAGTAGCCCTAGTAATGCTGGTGAACATATTATCGTGCAATCTCGTGGAAGCGCGCATACACACTATGAAAAACGTGAACGATCGGACCATGGTTACAACGACGAGCAAAATTATTATGACGGAATAGATGATGATGGACGTCTGTCTGGAGAAATGCCAAAAATCATAAGAAGAAGTTGTACTTGTTGTAGTTGGGTTTGATGCGTTGAGAGTGGCGTTCAGTGCGTTGTCTTGCTGCTCCAAGTTCACCCTGAAAATGTCAAAATGATATATTTTAGTACATCAAGTCTAGAGGAAGTCGTACTCACCAGTAGGTCAAGTAATAATCAGAAGCGCTTGAAAAAAGCTGAGCTGCGATGAACAAGAAAAAGAAAATGAAGATAACGCAGCAATTTCCTCCGGCGCTGAAATAAGCATTGTAGACATAACCACCGATTGTACCGGTACTTTTTTGCTCTTCTACCGTTTGCGGAGCTTCGACTTCTACCGAAGCGATGCTCCTCACGGACAACTGACGTCCCAGTTCCGTTTCGTTGGTTGGTTCTTCTTCTTGATTTGAATCGCCTAGGGACTGCGTGAAGTCCAGACCGCTAGATTGGAGTTCCCTGAACGTACCTGCAACCGAATCAGAACAAGTTTCAAATACGTAATAGAAACAAAATAATTTAGAATATCGTAAAAACAGGAAAATAGGATCATTGTATAAGTGTGTATCGAAAATAAACGGAAATCGTATTGAAGAAAGAAACTTTAGTTTCAATTTCTATTTAAACCTTGGCCTCTCAAATTCTTCCAATCTTGTCTATTTTTACTCATTTATCAACATTGATCTCATTAGGTATATAAATGGTATACAACGTGTATCTTAGGATGTCTCTTATTTTTCAAAATTTTTATTTTTTAACGCATAGGTCTTTCTTTTGTTCATTTGCTCTTAAAACACTCAAACAAATTTTTACCTAATTTGGAGTACGATAACCCGTGCCGTATTTGTCATTTGTTTTCAGTTATTCTCGTGATTAAGACGTATTGTTTTGCATTTAGAAGATGGCAGTAGAATAAAGAAGCAATAAAAAAGTATTTTCTTAGTTGGTGACGTAAATTATCAAATAACAGGCGCAAAGTTATCGTCAAACCGTCAAGTTCTTGCAGTACTTTTTTTAATATTCGCGAAGTTAAACTGACTCATTATTTGAAAGTGTACTATTTTTTGGAAAAAGGCTAGAATCCCTACCAGAGCTATACCTAACTGTGTAAAAAAACTTGTGGATCTTCACCGTGCTTGGAGGGAGTTGCAAAAAAAATACAAAATGTTTACAAGCGCCGTGAGGTGGACTTTCAAAACAATTTAGATAATTTATTCGATATAGCACACGCTGATGCTTTGGAACGGATGAAAATCGAAGAAGATAAATTATTTTTACAAAAACAAAGAGAACCATGGTGTCCAGGGTGTTTAGCGGGCGTAGACAAAAAGTTAGCAGAGAAAGAAGAAAGAGCAAGACAGAGAAAATTAAAAGAAGAGAAAAAAAGACATGAGCAAATGTGTTTCGGGAGTTTACCGTCATCTTTTGCAACACAAGATTTTATACAAACGCAAGGATATCACGATCAACCTACCAGCTCTGACGAAAGCTTTGAGGAACCCTTGCCATCCACCTCTTAAACGGTAAGTTCTGGAACTACTACAAAAAGATGAAGGAAAAACTTTGTCACGTCTAAGTGAGTTGCAGCTTTTAGTGATGCCGCGAGACAAGACGAGACGAGAGAGTGGCCTCTCTCGTCTCGTCTCGTAGGGCGAGAGAAAACTGTTCTCTCGTCTCGACGAGAAGGCGCTTCTCTCGATCGAGAGAGCATTTCTCTCGTCTTGTCTCGTCTCGTTTCTCTCGTTATAAAACAATATCAAATTTAAATTTGAAAAAGACAAAACATGAAAAAACGGTAAAATTTGTAAGACAAAAACAAAGAATTTTTCAAGTAATTTGCGCATTAGTACCCAAATTTGGCAATAAGAAACAGTTATGTCTGTCTGTCTGACACAGTCGTTTTACAATTGAAATTTGAAGTATTAAGTGGCCCAGATTAGGCATTAGCTAAAAGCGAAAATACTTTGTCTTTTAAGTCAGTTGGGGAAGAAGGAAAGAGGTTACATTGGAAGTTAGAATTTTTCTAATGCAATCCTGCGATGCAAATGAAAGTATTTTGTAGTATGTTTTCACAATGCAAGAAGATAGAGACATAAAACAAAAACAATGTGAAATTAGAGAAATATTATATTTTTGTTATAATGAGATGTGAGTCATGTAATACCACATTTGAAAGATATTTTGATTATATTTACGTCCAAGCACACAGTTTTAATTTTTTTTTGTTTTTACAAAATTTACATTCTTGATAATCCTCGTGTGCCGCAATAATCCTAGATATATTAGATAATGTTAGAAGATAATTTTTTAATAAGCTTTTTTTGCCAAGAAGTTATGAAAAATTTAATACGTCAAGTGGTTTTTAAATCACCTTTGATATTCTTAATTTATTTATTTTAGTAAATACAAGAAGCGTTTCCTTAGTAATAAACAATAATTGTTAATAGGATAGTTATCAAGAATGTAACTTATTAGTAAAGGCCCAGAACATGTCTGTATAAGAACAAAGTACCAGCTACAAAAAATTGCCATTTGTGCAGTGTTAAATCCCTCTACAGTAAAAAATTACTTAAATTTATAGAAGATACTAACATTTACTTTGTACTAACCAAAATGTTAGTTATCCATTATATACTATTGTAAAAAAAACAGCATTTATAAGGTATTATACCTCCGGTAATGATCCTTTGAGGTTGAAGCGGTAAATAAAAAAAATAATTTAACCTACTTTATGAATTTATTTAATGTAATTTCGGTAAAAACATAAAAACCTAAATCTGTTTACATGAACGTAAAAATATAGAAAATATCTTTCAAATGAGGTATCACATGACACTACTTTCCATAAGAAAATTTAGAGCTAGTACCTCCCTCTATCTTACGTGTCTCAAGTAAAGTGCATCTCGTTATAACAAAAATATAATATCTCTTGAGTTTTACTTCGTTTTTGTTTTGTCATTATCTTTTTTCATTTAGAAGTAAAAATAGAGGAGGGTACAATTTTCGTCCTCACTGTATATAATACATTCGTTTGTATTACCTTTTCTTTGACAGTTTTTCGAAAAAACGCCTTAATATTTTCAACTTGTCTTCAAAAGTAACCTCAGAAAAGCAGAATGGATTAAATATAAGAAATGATTGTATAAATTTTAAATAAATGAAATGAGAAATATTTTTTCTTATAAATCACTATTTGTAAAATCCTAATAACACAAGTATCATTTGTTACCATTTAATATACAGAGTGGCCCAAAAGTCTGGAAACGGCCAATTATCTCGTAAATTGCTAGTCCTAATTGTACAAAATTTGGGGTACACCTATTTTGAGATACGGTGATTCCATATTTGATATTTGCAATGTTGCCAGATTTGCCGTTTCTCTTAAATTATTAGTCACTTTGGTTTTTCAAATTCATCACCCTGTATATTTAGTCATTATTGGAATCTCCTATTTAATACGAGTTCAACCATATGTAACACTTATGATTTTATGTAGTCTGGAAGGTCTTAAATAAATAAAATAAATCTGGCAACGCCTAATTATCTCAATAATTTTTTTAATAAAAACTATTTTCAACTACATTAAAACGTAACAATTGAAAGATTATAACATTTTTAACATAATGGTTACTTTATCAAGTGTTCAAAATGTGCTCCATTTGTGTGTTGACAGTACCCTAATCGATGGTAGAATGCGTCTACCACATTTCTCAATGATTGTTTTATTTATTTAAGACCTTCCAAACTACATAAAATCATAAGTGTTACATATGGTTGAACTCGTATTGAATAGGAGATTTCAATAATGACTGAATATACAGGGTGATGAATTTGAAAACCAAAGTGACTAATAATATAAGAAAAACGGCAAATCTGGCAACATTGCAAATATAAAATCTGCAATCTCAGTATCCCAAAATAGGTGTACCCTAAATTTTGTACAATTAGGATTAGTAATTTACGAGATAATTGGCCGTTTCCAGAATTTTGGGCCACTCAGTATATAGAATAGGTGTGTTATAGTAAATTTTTTGACTATCTCGAAATCTAATATGTTAAAATTTTAAGTTACGATAAGCAATTGAAAATTTCTATAAGCAAAGAAAAAATTGTTCGAGAGAGCTCGAGAGAAACGAGAAATTCTCGTCGAGAGATAACACTCTCTCGTCTCGTCTCGAATCTGTTTTCGAGAGAAGATGTCTCTCTCGTCTCGTTCGAGACGAGACAAGACGAGACGAGAGACGAGAATCTCTCGTCTCGCGGCATCACTAGCAGCTTTAGATAAATGGCAATTAATCATAAGGGATTCTGTTTATACTCATATACTTCAGACTGTAGTAGAAGCACTAGATCTTAACTGCGATGATTTCTCGATAAAAAAATCGTCCATTCAACGCATTCGCACACAGAGTAGAAAAGATAGAGCGAAATCTATTAAATCAGATTTTCAGTATAATATGCCTGAAATGGTGATCGTTCATTGGAATGGGAAATTATTACCTGGACTGGACGTGAGAAGTTCTAAAGAAGAACGCCTGCCAATTCTAATTTCATTTGGAGAAAAGGAACAACTGGCTGTGCCCAAACTGGAGAGCTGTTTCGGTCAAGATCAAACTAAAGCTGTGTTAAACGCACTTTATGACTGGAACCTCGATGACAAAGTACAAATAATGTGCTGTGACACAACTGCGTCTAATACAGGGCGATTGAATGGAGCTTGTGTACTTTTGGAACAACAACTAAACAGGGAATTAGTACTCTATAAGAACTGGTTTTAAAATGTGTGTTCGAAACAAAAATCCACCAAATCACAAGTAGCCCTGATATCACATGTTCATAGAGACAACTGGAAAACTATTAATCCTCTGCTGCTATTGAAACCTACACTGATATCATCACACAACATTTTTGTTATACAACAGGGACAGGGATTCTTATGTACGAACTCAACAGGTAACGATTCGAATAAAGAGAGAGAGATACATTACATAAGAATCGCATTCTGTGGAACGAAGATAGGTATCTCAACACGTGCCATATTGAAAGATGACCCAATGCTGAAGTGGAATTTTAATTGAAACCGGGAGATGTTTATTAAAACACACTTACTCCTCTGAATATATGATTTCTAAAATGAAACAATATAAATCAAACTGATTCAATCTCCTCAATTAAATTCCAAGACCCATTCTGTCAGTTTCCTTTAAAAAATGAGTGAACAAGCAAATCAGATTCGTGACTTTAAATTTAGATCTGAATTTCAAAAGTTATATTGAAGGAAGGATTCAGGTCCACTGCACTTAAACAACATTAAACCTATAGAAGTATTTTGAATTCCTTAGATACAGTAACGTCATTCATAAGTCATAAATCAACTAATTGTTCAAAAGTAAGACAAGATGGAAATTCAACCTCTCAAATGACCATTGTATGTGGTATAGGTTTCGTGTTTCATTTATCTAAAAACGAGGATATATTGAAAGAAAATGCTAAAAAAAATAAGAAAAGTGGCAACAAAGAAGAATGCTTACCTGTTCTGGCTACGCCATCTTCCAAATACAAAATATGATCAACTTCTTGTAAATATTGAATCTGATGCGTGACCAAAATAACTGTTTTATTCTTCAAATAACCAGTAATGCACTGCTCGAACAATTCTTTTCCAACGTGAGTATCCACAGCAGACAAAGGATCATCTAATAGATAAATATCAGCCTGTTTATAAACAGCCCTAGCTAAATTTATTCTAGCCCGCTGTCCACCGCTAAGCGACACTCCCCTGTCGCCGACAATCGTTTTATCTCCGTAAGGCAAGAGACTGAAGTCTCTTTCTAAGGCACATTTTTTCACGACAGTCTTGTAACGAAGTTTATCCATAGGTTGGCCGAAGAGGATGTTCTGTCTAACGCTACCAGCGAATAACCACGGTTCCTGCGAAGCGTAGCTGATCGCCCCGTTTACTTTGAGGGTTCCCTCTACGAGAGGTAATTCTTGGAGTATCACGTGGAATAAAGAGCTCTTGCCGCTGCCCACCGGGCCTATCACTCCAAGTAGGTGTCCTGGATATACCTAAAAAGTGGATTAACCAATTAACAATGCAGATGGAAAAGTATGAGCATGGTGGTATTATTAGATTTCGTTAGGACTGTGGGCCATGCACCCACCTCGACCTTTTCAAATCTATTGTGGATTAGATAGGACACGGAAGACTCTGTATGGTTCAAGACATTGATATAGTATGACCTTTATGGATCATTTACACGATGGCCAATTGTGAAGATATTCCATTAAGCCAATCCAAAAATAAAGTAAAAAAATCCAATAAATATGCAATTGTCGGCTAGATTTATTGAACCATAGTGTTGCTCAGAGCGCCTTTGTAATATTATGCAGAACATATTAATGATACTCATAAATTTTCTAACCTTAATATTAATATTAGTTAACGTATTATCTACGGACATTTCACTCCATTTGGCCGTAGCGTTGGTCAAAAACACTCCCAACTCTCCCCTTCTCTCGCTCTTTTCGATACCGTTCGACGATTTACTTAAATCCGCACTTTTATCACCATCAGCTTGTTTTTCATTAAAAGTTGACGATTTCACTGATTGGATTTCGCCGAACAGCATAAACGTATTCAATCGCTTTACCGACATCCTAGCTTCAGCAACTTGCGCGATCCCTTGCGGGAAAAATACGGTCATGGTTTGTCGCAGGACGTTGTAGAAGGACGTCAGGACGAAGACTTTTTCCGCCGTGATATCGTAACCGGACAGGACGTAGACTAACACGCTGACGAATAAAGCCATTCGGGTGCTGTACATTATGAAAGAGAGAAATATCCCCCGAAGGAATGATGTATGTCTGATTGATTGGATTTCGTGCCTGAAAAAGAATTACATTTAATACAATTGGTTAGAACTTTAGGCATATGCAAGTTGTAAGAGAACATAGAGTTGGTACATTTAGACTTTAATATAGAATGTATAATTTTAACATAGCTCTACAAACTGAATATTTATTACAAACTACTGAAATGAATTTAAACTCAGCTGCTATTTTATTAACTGATTGTGAAGCAAATGGTCGAGCAGCATGGTAAATAAAAATATATTTGAAGCAGCTGGAAGGCAATGGAAGAAGCAGGAAAAGAAAAATTGCAATTAGCTTAAGATATTGGAAGTATATCAGCAAGAAAATTATCTAATTGCAGTTATTGTTGACGATGCCTGGTCTAAGCAACAATTCCTGTAGTAACTTTATTTAAATATAACCTAAGAGGACCCCCCTTTACTTGTAGAAACAGATAAATATATAAGTGGTGGTATGTATGATTCTGATTTTAGATTTACCTTCTTGCTAGAGCTACTAGATGAGCAAACGGTCTTTCCCAGGCGTACATTTTTATGACTTGTATGCCAGAAAGTATTTCATTCATTAATCTCACTCTTTCGTCTGTTCTTAGAGCTGTCCTAAGTCGTAAAACTGAGATTTTTTTTCCAATGTACACTGAAAAATATATTATTATTGAGGTAAAATAAACAAGTCACAACTCTATTCACGATTCAAATTAATTTTCGCCCGCCTGTCATTTGTTAGTAGTAAGTAGTAATTTGTTTATTTACATTTTTAGTATTGTGGCGGGCCTTTGTATTTTTGATTTTTTAACTTGTTTTAGATATTATCATTATAATAGTCTTTTTGAGTTTCATTTAGTATTTGAGTTTAAGTTCAATTTCTGTGCTTTCGTTATAATATAACCATTTATTACAAAAATAAAATTTTAGAAGTTACGCTTGGAAAATCATGAAAATTTCCAATTTGATTTTGACGTGCAAGCTTTAACACGACACATAACAATATAGAAGGCTTTTTCGCAAATTTCATTTTTAATATAAAACACACTATACAGGGTGTTTCAAAAAGATTGGTCATAAATTATAACACATATTCTTGGGTCAAAAATAGGTCGATTAAACCGTACTTACCTATATACAAAAGTGCACCCAAAAATAGTTGCAGGGTGTATAAGATAAAAATGTACATTAATTTTTTTAACGTTGCTCTTAAACCGTTTGTCATTTTTTCATGAAATTTTATATGACGTGTTAGAATATCATGACTAATAATACCAAGGAAGAGGCAATATTTTTTTCTTGATTTTTATAGGTTTTTGGAGGGGGTCACCGCTCTTTTCTGCACTCAACTTTTTTGTAGTATAAAATTTAATTACAAATGAAACGCCACTAGAATGCAACATCCATTTGGAAACTTTTTTGTCTCTTAGTATTTGTTTGTAAAAAGTTTAGTTTAGACGATACAGCCATTTGAAGTGACAACTAAAAAATATTCAATGGAAATTCTACATATGAAAAATATCAAAATCAAGTTTATTTTTAAATTACACACTAATGTCATCAAAATAAAAAAAATTAATTTAACAGGTGTTTAAAATTACATTCTCCTCCTGTATACACTCATTACATAATTTTAACAATGAAAATTGAATTTTGATGTTTTTGCATACGTATAATTTACATTGAATATTTTTAAGATTTTATTTTAAGTGGCTGTATCGTCTAAACTAAACATTTTACAAACAAATACTAGGAGACAAAAAAGTTTCCAAATAGAGGTTACATTTTTCAGTGGCGTTCGATTTTTAATAAAATTTTATATTACAAAGAAGTTGAGTAGAGAAAAGGGTCGTGACACCCTCCAAAATCGTACAAAAATTAAAAAAAATATATTGCCTCTACCTCAATTTTGTTAGTCATGGTATTCCAACACGTCATATAAAATTTCATGAAAAAATGTCAAACTGTTTAAGAGCAAAGTTAAAAAAATTCATTTAAATTTTTATCTCATGGTGTATGTAACTATTTTTGGGTACACTTTTGTATATAGGTAAGTACCGTTTAATCGACCTATTTTTGACCCAAGAATATGTGGTATAATTTATGACCAATCTTTTTGAAACACCCTGTATATAAGAAATAAATATTTAATACTTCTTAACTAGAAAAAATTGGAATTGATAATGTATTGATACAAATTAAACTATCAGTAACAACAAGCTAACACGATGCCAATGTTGCCAACTTATGAACTGATTAAAAAAAGACAAATAAAACAAATTTCCTCCAGAGGGCTTATCGCTTGGCTTGAATCGCGGATAGGTATTTACAGAGATTAATCTCTGGGTATTTATTTAGCACTATACAAGGCGTTTTTCTTTGTAAAACGTCAGTAAAGTGACATTTACCTATAAAATTTTGCTTTCGTACTGCTGCATTGTAGATGACTTGTTTTGACGTCTGTCAATGTCAAGAAAGTTTTGTTTACAGCCATTGGGAAGAAATACTTTTTTGCAATAGGGCAAAAATGGATAAACAGTGTAATCAAAACTGTTGACAGTTACTAAGAAGAAACAGTTATAGTACAATAAATCTCTATAGTGTGAGCTTTAAACTTATAAAGCTATAATATACAGAATAAAGCAACGAAAACAAGACTTGTCTGAAACTCAGAAATTAATAAATTTTCAAAATTTAAAGAACACGTTAAGTTTTATTGACGAATTGTCATAAAAATCATACCCAAAAATCCAATCCCTGTACCCTGGCAGCAACCCCCTATTTATTTAAATAGCAAGTATGGTCAATGTATTTTTTTCTCTAATACTTCACTCTGTCTGCAGATCTGTAATGAAGTTAAATTTTCATCACTAGCATAAATCATACAAAGTTCGCAAGAATGAAATAATTTTTAACTATAATACAAAATTATACATAGTTATAGTTACTTGGTTACTAGTTATTTGTCATTAGTTATTTAATGTAACACAGTTAGAGTAATTAAAAACAATTGAACAGCTGTTAGCTGTTAACTGCTAGCTAGTACTTAGTAAAACTTAGCAATAATCTTACGTATGCGACATTAAATTAATTAACTCAGATGAGTATGTACCCTTGGCCTAAGTACCTTTGGTTGGTCAACAATATTGATGAAATTGTTAAATTCACAATTTAAATTCTAATCGCCTACGTTTCTTATAATATTTTTTAAATTAATGTATCAAAAAAAGATAAAAAAAGCCATGTTTAGGATATCTTCATTGTTTAAATTGTAAAGAGCTCATACAAATATTTCAGCTTGTATGAATGACAGTGTGAGTGTTTTACAACCGAGGTGCCGCGGCACCTTGGGATGCCACACCACGATTAAGATATGCCGCCAATTAGGCGTTTTCTTGAAAATTTACTTAATCGTAGTTCAAGATAACTCATTGGGTTTGTTCGGGTTTTTTTAAAACTCTTATTCAAACCGTCCGAGAACCAGTGGAATAGTTGAATTCCAAATTATTCGTCGCATACAACTATTAAACTATCCACTGGTCAACTAGTTCTCTGATAGTTCTCAATGTATTTTTGAAGAACCCGAACAGACCTATTAGGTTTGTTTTGGTTCCAATTTAAGAACCGTTCTGCCATGCGCTTTAATTTCAAAGTGTTTTGGTTAATTTCGAAATAGTTCAAAACCGGAGGTGACGTAAAATTCTGTATTTTGCTTCATTCATGGAATTATTTTAGAACTATTCTAGAACGGTTCAAACAGTTCTTACTTGTGAGCAGAAATTATTTTAGAATTTTTAGTTCGAGCATGCGTATATTGAAGGAAGCCACATACTTTGATTACTATAAGGTGCAGGAGAGAGGTCCGACCAATGAACTGGAGTGGGGTAGAATGCTTGTCAATAGACTTGATATGTGACTCTATGGGCGAAGATAGGTTATTTTTCATCTCACTCGGGAGTATTTAAAATAACCATTTTCTATTTCACATTGTTATTGTCTGATCCACCAGCTTGTGGATTGAACAATAACAATGTGAAACAGAAAATGGTTATTATAAATAGTCCCGAGTGAGATGAAAAATAAAAATGGCTGCGCCCATAGAGTTGCACCTAGTTCTAATAGCACAACATGTACATTGGCATTCTACCCCCCTCCAGTTCATTGGGTCCGACACGCCCAACATAGGGAGCGGTCATTTTGATGCCTTTACCACAGTTTATAGCTAAAGAACCAGTTCGCTCACTCTGCGTCGGCACTTTTGATCTCAATATTCCAGTTTATATACTGCGCAACTCGGATAATACGATATATGACAACCGCCTATAAGAAAACAGCAGTCTTCTGCGCATCCTGAATTTGTATCCCTGGGGTGGATGTTATTTTGGAAATTTCAACTGGTCCGAGTGAGCTAACTGATTCTTTAGCAATAAACTGTGACTCCAAAAATAATATTCATTGACACTGACAGCAGCAAGCAAAATATCAGGTGCGCCAAGATGTAGGCAACACGTAATAAGGCATCAAAATGGCGGAGTTTTCTCTCCTTTTAAAAGGCACTCAGAAAGCTGCGCAGTGCGACCATTCTCCGTGTAGTAAGAGAAAATCAAAGTATATGAAGAAAGCTATGAAGCGACAACTGACAACCTATTATTGATTTATTTCATTTCGTTTATATGTTTTGAGCTGTTGCTGTCGAGGTTTGAAATTGTGTTTTATTGGGGCCTTTTTACATTTGTGTTTTTATTAGATCTTATTAACTTAAAAAAAACCTGTTTATATTTACAACAAACGTATGTATTTATATTACTATTATCCATGATGGAATGACTAATTTGAAATTAAATAATTTTTATTTATATATACTATTTTAAAAAATAGGGGAAACAAAAAACAAAAAAATATAAATAAAAGTAACAAGAATGAAACAAAAATAAAAGCGTTGTATAAGACTCGACAAGAATGCACATGAAATTAAATATGACGTTTACAACCCTTTGTTAATCTTAGGAACAAAAAACAATGGCAAATTACAATTTTGCAAACAATATTTCGATGTAGTTCACAGAATTGACAATATTTGTTGGCTTCTTGTGCTCGATAATAAAAGGCTATAGTAAGGATAAATGCGAAAAAGAAAAAGAAGAGCAAAAGTGTTTTGCTTCTTGAATCGATTCTGAATCAGTTTAATTATTTTGATTTTGGACAAGTAAAAACGCTGTTTTGTATTCAAATTCTACTTTAAACTGTCAATTTTAATAAAAAATTCTTCCCCCGGTGAGAGAGTCTCCTCCACGAATCACCCCCCAAAAAAATTATCTGGCCCGTTAGCCCCACCCCTATCCAGATTCTATTTCTGCCGCCGGTCAAGGGTGTCACGATTTTGTATTATTCAGTCAGAGGTGCCATTCAATGAAAAATATTGACAATATGGTGGTCTCGTCCGGTTGCTAGGGACGGGGGTGTGACGTTAGAGAATGAAAAATTGGGGTGACAGAAAATATTCTGCTGCGGTTCGTAAATTAGTTTTTTTTTTAAATCAAGTCTTAAGAGTTTTTATAATATCGGTAGTTAGGGCTGGGCGATTTTCAAAATAAATAATCGATTATTGATTATTTAAAATAATCGATTATTTTCGATAATTCGATTATTTTGGAATTATCGATTATTTTTGAATAATCGATTATTTTTGATTAATCGATTATTTTTGATTAATCGATTATTTTCGATTAATCGAAAATAATTAATAATTATTCGAAAATAATCGATTAATCGAAAATAACCTATTAATCGAAAATAATCGATCAAATGATAATCGATTAAAAAAATATATAATAATCGACTTATCGATTATATGATTTTTCCTTTCTGTTTTGTAGCTTATCTTTAAAAAAATCAAACTAACGATATTATAATAACTCTAACACTAGATTAAAGTTCATAAATAAAAATCTACCACTAAATAATAAAATATTAGAATTTTTAAAAAACTTATGTCGAAACTAGTAAAATATTTTCTGTCAAGTCACTTTTTCATTCCGTGACGTCACTCAGTCCTTAGCAACCGGGATGAGGTCACCGTTTTAGTCTACGAACCACTGGTGTAAGACTTTTTTTTAAATGAGTTGACATATGTTTGGCTACTAGTTTGGCTACTACTGAAATTGATTTTTAGATTTTCTACAATAACATGCCGAACGGCCTCAATATTTTCAACTAATTCAGGATGGTCTTCAAGAAAATCAGCCGTACATTCTAGAATTGATTACTACCACTCACCATTTACTTTCCTGTACGGAAGTAACATTCAATAATTTTTGCTTCTTGATCTGCGTTAAATACCATTTTTTAAATTTATTTTTCTTAATAAAAGATTTGACAAATTTGACATAAACGTTGTTTTAATTTCAATGCCATTCTGTGGAAGTGGCTAAAGTACAAAACCAAAACATTTAAATTTTACAGCCAACTCCAATTAAGGCTCGACGGCTCAACAATAATTATTATATTCTTAAGACCTGCTGCTATATAATTTTGATTAAATACATTTTTTACTGTCTTACTATTTAAGATGACCATATTAAAGCAGTTGGATACCCTTCTTCACAATGCCTGTGGCAAAAGATTAAAATCAATGCCATCCACTCTCTCTTTCTACACACACACTCTTCTTCAGTTATATCTAGTACTTACTTTGTAGAGGCACAAAAGATACCAATACGCAAACTCCTATAATAGCAGATACTCCAACTTCCAAGTACATAAAATAAGTACAAATAATCGTTTCAACTGGACCCAACCATAAATGATGAGCAAACAGCACAGCCAAATCGAATCTGTTCACGTCATTGGACAAAAGGTTCACCACCTGTCCAGCCGTGGTTTCGCCCAAAGCGACTTTGCTAAGCCTCAGAGCTTTTCTGTAGATTAAAGAACAGCAACCGACTCTTAGTTTCATGCCTATGTGGCAAACTCCCAACATGTACGGATGAACACATAGTACGTTGATGAGGGAACATAATACAACTCCGGCTGCGTAGTAATAAGCATCTTCTTCGCTGATATAATCGTTTCTGGAGTAAAACCTCAGCATACGACCGAGAAGGATTGGTTGTACCACGCTTGAAAATTAAGACATTAGTTAACTGATGTTTTTAAAATATTTTTTCTATATCTAATTTGATGTCAACTTTTGAGATTAAGTAATCTAGAATATTTACGGCCTCGATATTCGCCTGATTTTAGTCCGTTAGACACTTTTGTTTTATAAAATTTAAAACTCACAATTTTGGAATTGTGGATCAGATACGAAAAGTCGTTGTCATAGACCACTTGAAGGTAATAACATATTTAGTGATGAGTAGTTTTCCCTAGGAATTACTTTTGGAAAGGTAATAGTAACTTTTTAGTAATACCTATTAAAAGGTGTTTATTCCATATACCCAGACGGTATTAGCAAAAATGTATTTGTTTACAGGCGTATATTCAATTGATTTATTTATTCTTTGAAAATCACTAAAAGGTTGACATCAAATCAAATATACATATTTGAAATGACTGTAGCAAAACACAAACATTTTAAATAGTGATCCACAAAAAAAATGTTTCTAAATTAGATCATGACCGACAAGACAGATATACGAGTCACGTCGGTGATAACTATGAATGGCTCTAAATTAAATGCCACTTGTCACTTAAAAAAGAAGAATAATTAGGCGGTCCGACCATCGTGAATTTTTCCAATGTTCTTTAAAAACATTTTTTGAAGACCACTTTATAAAAACAAAAAAGGCAATACTAAAAAATTATTTACAACAAAAGAACATATTAACAATACTGTGGCAAATTATTATTTACATGTGGGAAAATAGCACAAAATATTCTTCGAATGTCAAAACAAATAAACCATGTTTTAATAACAGTTTCTAAGAAAAATATATTCCAACTAAAAGTTGGTAGGTACCGACTTTATTTACATCACAAATTAGCTTATAATACAAACAAAACATAACAAAATAATTCTACATATATTAAATTAACTACTCAGAAATTTTTTTGAAGTTGAGAGAGCATATTTGTACTAAGTATCAAGAAAAGAAAATTCTGAGAATTTTTAATTAAAATTAAGGGATCGAAGAATTTTTTGGTAGCTTTTGAAAATTCTGTATGCCGATTTTGAAAAGGTTTCTGTGCGTACTGCAAATCAAGCAAAAGCTCAAGAAAATTTTACTGCTTAAGGACCGATTCCACCGTTGTGTTAAACGGAGATTAAAATGACGTTGTTAATGTAAAAATGTCATTTTAAACTTCGTTTAACACAACGGTAGAATCGGTCCTAAGATGATTAAAACATTTTGTTAAATATGTTGCTGCGCAATCTACTAAGTAAGTGAACTGTCAGAAGTCTTGTCACTGTCATTCTGTCTAGTAAAGTAAGTTGACGGTTGTCACTAAAAAGTATTGGCGGTTACAAGTTGCTTGTATTTTTCTATTTAATATACGTTTCCTAATTTATCTAAAAAGGTGTTTGATTTTATTCCCATAAAAGGGCATGGGATCAGATTACGTAAAATAAAGAAACAAGGAAACCACAGACAATAAATTCAAACATGATGAATGTATACACAAATGTACCCATGTTAACAGCCAACAATTATAATAACTGGAAGTTCAGAATTCTACGCAAAGAACAGTGTGGGGAAACGATAGAACAAGATGTGACTACCGCTGATGGTGCAGAGCAAGCATTTTTAATAAAGGATGCAAAACTCATTCCTTCATTATACAGGGTGTGTCAGATAAACATCTAGACACTATTAAAGACTGTCAGACCGCTAAAGAACAGATGCAAGCCCTAATAGTATATTAAAGTATAAGTGGATATAACGGTCTTTAAAACACGCGCGAGCAAGTGTTTTAAAGACCAGTTATCCACAAATACTTTACGCTATTTTTTTTATTGGTATACTTTGAAATCCTAAATATTGGTATTATTTCTACAAAAAAAAATGGAAACAAGAACTAATAACATCCCATTACAAAAAAAAGAACTAATAACTGAAAATGGTTGAATATTGTCGCAACAGTTGTTATTGTTTAAAATGAGTTCAAATATTGGTATTTAAATAATAAAGCAGAATCGCGCTTAATACCACAAAAATCCGAAGCGGTTTATAAAAAAGAATACAATAAATTCAACACGTGGATGGAAGAGCAAATGGTTACACATATACAGGGTGTTTCCGAACTTGGCGTCCAAATTTGTAGGGGTGGTAATTCGCATAATTTGAGACCGAATCGCAGATTTCATTTTTCCAAAATATTTAAAATAAAAATAATTAAAAATTATAAACAGGTACGGTCCTGCACAGCGATAGGAACGCCTCAACTCGCCCGCGCTACGCTTAGAATCGACAAACTTGCAAATCGCATCTGTTTTTGAGGACTATTGCGCTACGCGCTCAGGGTAGGACCTGCTCTTTGATTTTTTTTATAATGGCTCTATTTTGTTTATTATAATTTTTTTAGAAAAATGAAATCTGCCAATCGCTCTCAAATTATGCGAACTACCACCCCTACAAAGTTGGACGCCAAGTTCGGAAACACCCTGTAGATGAACAAGTTTTTCTCGCTTATCTCCAGAAAATGTCGGAACAGTACGTACGTCCGCTACCATTATGGCGAATAATGGCATGACAATAGATCAAATTATGAAGATCAAATCCAACGACAAGTAGGATGGAAATCGGCAGCTGTGGCGACTGGTTACGTTGAAGAGAGCATTAGCAATAAGAAGAATGTTTCAAATATTATTGGAAGTACTATTAATGGAAGTACAACTTCATTGACTTATTTGAATAAATTTTTTGAAAAATTTCTCAGAAATATTTTATTTGACATTACAAGGCACTCCTGTCAGATCAATATTTAAAAAGTTGGCATTTAGACATCACGTTTCTTGGGTTGTTGATGTTGCCATGGTAACTTTAAAACACGCGCGTTTTTTAAAGTTCGTTTTAAACACGCTGAGGCGTACTTTAAATAAGTAAAATAGGGTACCAATAAAAAAAAAGATGTTTTTGTAAAGTTAACCCTATGGAGAAAATTATTCAGTTTAACATAAAATAATAATGAAAGTTTGGAAGACCACTTTCTAAAGTTCGATACTATAATAAGAGACTTAGGTTCACAAATTGATGAAACATAAAGAGTTTGTCATTCATTATTGTCCCTTGCATCACAGTACGAAATATTATCACAGCATTTAGTCCAAGAGCCAGTGACACACATTTCATTAAGTGTTTGATGCGCTTTGAAATTTTGTAATTTGAAATCATTTGGATGGAAAAGCAGATATATCTGTGTTGGCTTGACCCACCCTGGGACATCAAGTACTGCGCATAATAGAAAGGGGTCGTAAAATATGACCCAAAAAAAGTGTTTGATTCACGCTCAAATTTTAATAGCGTCTTAATTCAATATAAAAAAAAAATTCCAAAAAGGCAGACACTTTTTCCGGGGTTTAATTGCCGGCCAACATAAAAATAAGTCTTATCGCTGATCACCCTACAGCTGTATCGGCCGTTCATACAAGGGAAGTGCAACCAACTTGACAAAATAAAATTGACACTAATGACATAAGAAATCGGGTCACATAAAGAGGCTGTTTTTTTGTTAAATTTTTAATTTTTCTTATCTACTTTTATGTCGTTTAGATACCATGTTGTACCCGTAATGTAAAAAAGACTTTATTTTAGGGTATTTTACATTTAAAGGTTGAAAACATTTGTCACTATCAGCTGTGGATAATATCAAAACAGGCGTAGCAGTGCATTTTATTTTTTGTTGTTAATAGTCTATTTGTGTTTCTCCCGCTTTATGAAACATTTTTTTTTTTCATTTAGTTTTATTTATTTATGTCGATTGCAAAATGCTGCTGCTACGAATACAAGTTCTATACAATATACAACCAACATACAATACTAGTTACATTATGACCATCTATGGTTACGCCTGTGTTCTACCAACAACATAATTGACAGCTGACGATGACAAAATGTTTTAACCTTTAAATGTAAAATAACCTAAACTAAAAAGTCTTTTTCACGTTACGGGTACAACAAGGTATGCAAATGGCATGAAAGTAGATAGGAAATACCATAAAGCAAACTAAAAAACAGCCTCTTTATGTGACCCGATTTCTTATGTTATTAGTGTCAATTTTATTTTGTCAAGTTGGTTGCACTTCCCTTGTATGAACGGCCGATACAGCTGTAGGGTGATCAGCGATAAGACTTATTTTTATGTTGGTCGGCAATTAAACCCCGGAAAAAGTGTGCCTTTTTGGAATTAATTTTTTTTATATTTAATTAAGACGCTATTAAAATTTGAGCGTGAATCAAACACTTTTTTTGGGTCATATTTTACGACATCTTTCTATTACGCGCAGTACCTGGTGTCCCGGGGTGGGTCAAGCCAACACAGGTATATCTGCTTTTCCATCCAAATGATTTCAAATTACAAAATTTCAAAGTGCATCAAACACTTAATGAAATGTGTGTTACTGGCTCTCCGGCTAATTGGAAACCGTTAGTGACATGATAATGGATTTTGTGATGAAGAACTAAAACTAAAATCTAAAACTTTCAATGAAAATAAAGCTGGTAGTAGTGACTACAGTTTAAATACGTCTACAGGGTGCTATATTTGTGGTGATTAAAATCATTTTAAAGCACAATGCCTAAAAAGGAACTTTTATGGACGGTTTAATAAAGGAAGATGGCGTAGAAGTAGAGGTTTTAAACGAGGTTTTAATTGAAATACAGAACAAGCAAATTCGGCAGAGAATAACATCTTGTTAGTGTTGGACTCTGGTGCAGTAATCATTTTGTAAAAGAAGAACTAGAAATTTATGATCAATATAAAAGAACTGGAACAAGTGATATCACTGCATATTGCAAATGGTCAGCTTCTGAAATCCAGAAAGAAAGGGGAGCTGCAGGTGAACTATCAAGGTAAAAATATGACTATAGAAGCTATAATAGTACCAGGTATAAAACATAATTTACTCTCAGCTGTTAAATTGACCTCAAGAGGGCATAAAATAATTGTTGAAAAGAAT